CGCTCCATCTGTGAAAGATTGTACAACAATTTTTTTTTGCTGGGTGGATATCAGGGATGTAACTCAGTCTGAAGCTATCAATATAGGTGTCCAGTTTGGGTTTGCATCCTTGTGGAGGTGTGAAGTTGCTTTTCTTTTTCATTTTGTTGCATTCCATTGTCCTAGGATTCCATTCGCTACAGTGGATGGTACATTAAAAACCCTATTTTATTTAACCCTTCCCTACAAAACCCAGAAAAGTTTTGCCTGTACATAAAATTTAAATTAGATCTAAAGGCAAAGTGTTTTTTTTTTCATTTTTGATAGCTTAAAAGAGAGTTATAACACCTATCAGGTTTTTTTTTACCATCTGTGTCCTGTCGGGGAGATTTCCCTTCAGTGAGTTGAAATCCCTTCAAATTAAGCGAATCCTTGGTTGGCAACAGGGTCACCGGAACTAGCATCCCCAAAAATGAGAAGAGTTCCCCCCTATTCCTGTTTTGGTGACAAGCTGAAATTTGGGATTTTTTATTTCACTTTTACTCTTTGTGATAATGGACACCTGGACAAATAGAGAGTGGGCACAGACAGCAATAGAAACAGCTTCTTTCCCGATACATGTAATTAAGAATGCAATAGCTTCTTGAAGCAGGTTGTGCAGCTTAGAAAAAGTTAAATGCATGCCATAAAAGAGTTAAAGGATAAGTTCACTTTTTAAGAAAAATAATAAATGTATGTTTTTTGCTGGTAAAAATATGTGCATGTACTATTTTTTTTAACCCTGTAAAGCAATGCATCAGCGATCAGAAGATCGCTGGTGTAAAGCAGGACTTCTGCAGGCTGTCAGTGTAATCTGTGTGCTCGTACCTCCTTTGGGCAGACAGTTTTACACTGACAGGAAGAATCAGTTAACTACTAGAACTCTCAACAGCTCCATGGTAGTTCATTGAGAACTATAAGCCAACATCTGCAAAGGATGTCGGTACTTGTAGTTCATTCATTCACAGAACTCTTTGAATGAATGATGCGGCTGGGTGGGCAGAGCCCTGCACAGCCACACAGTTTTCAAAAAGCTAGAACTTCTCCCCATACTGCTGTCACAGGGAAAAAAGGCAGCAGGCAGCGGCAGCAGCAGTGGGAACATGTTACATTTTACACGCTAAAAAAAGGTGGAACATGTAACATGTTCCCAAAGGTTACCTTATCCTTTAATCAAGTGCACCTGTCATTGAACTGTGCATGATCTCAGGTGCAGATCTCAAATACAAACAGAATGCAGCTGAAATCAAGCTGCATATGCTTATCAGCAGTGGTCCAAAGCCCATTAACTCTGGCCCTTCCTTTTACTTCCTGTTCTATCTGACAACCATCACTTGACAAATGAAAGAAATTTTCCCTAAAAGGGAAACAAACAGCAATAATATCCTGACAGAGGTCTTTAAAACATTTCCGTTTAGTTAGAAACTGTTTTTATTGCTGTCTGTGTCCTTAATGAGGCAATCTTACTTTCTATTGTCTCTGACACCTATAAATAGACAGGAAGAAAAGAGAATTTCCCTCACTTCTTGTTCTTGTGTTAGTAAGGGGAAATCCGCTACACAGACAGCAATAAAACATTGAAAGAAATTCTACCCCTTTCCTGCAAGTAAAAATAAGTTTAGTATGTACTTGAATATACAGTCGCTGGCCACTTTATTAGGTACACCTTGCTAGTACTGAGTTGGACCCCCTTTTGCCTTCGGAACTTCCTTAATTCTCTGTGGCAAGATGTTGGAAACATTCCTCAGAGATTTTGATCCATATTGACATGATAGCTTCATGCAGTTGCTGCAGATTTGTTGGCTGCACATCCAAAGGTGCTCTATTGGATTGAGATCTGGTGACTTTGGAGGCCATTGGAGTATAGTGAACTCATTTTTATGTTCGACAAACCAGTTTGAGATGATTTGAGCTTTGTAACATGGTGCATTATCCTGCTGGAAGTAGCCATCAGAAGACTGTAGTCATAAAGGGATGGACATGGTCAGCAACTCAGGTAGGCTGTGGCATTTAAACGATGCTCAGTTGGTACTAAGGGGCCCAAAGTATGCCAAGAAAATATCCCCCACACCATTACACCACCAGCAGCCTGAACCATTGATACAAGGCAGGATGGATCCATGCTTTCATGTTGTCTACGCCAAATTCTGACCCTAACATCTGAATGTCGCAGCTGAAATCCAGACTCATCAGACCAGAATATTTTTCCAATCTTCTGCTGTCCAATTTTGATGAGCCTGTGCAAATTGTAGCTTCCATTTCCTGTTCTTCTTCAGTGTGGTCTTTTGCTGCTGTAGCCCATCCAAGCTGCGGTTTCTAAAGCGAGCAAAATCCTCTCTTGTATTAAGAGCTATAAACTCCATAGAGAGTGGTATCTTTTTACCCATGTACAAATCGTTAGTAACACCTCATCTGGAATATGAAGTTCAGTTTTGGGCACCAATTCACAAAAAGAACATTGGGGAACTGGAGAAAGTGCAAAGAAGGGGAACCAAAGTGATAATTGATGGAGGAGCTCAGCTAGGAAAGATTAGAGGAAACAAATGTATTCTCTTTTGAGAAGAGGAGATTAAGGGGGAATATGATCACCATGTATAAATACATCAGTGGTTCATATAGTGAACTTGGTATAGCGTTATTCAAACTTAGGTCATCACAGAGGACAAGGGGGCACTCTTTACATCTGGAGGAAAAGAGATTTAATCTCCAAACATGGAAAGGTTTCTTCACAGTAAGAGCTGTGAAAATGTCAAGAGTTGGTTCTGGCCAGCTCAGTGGATTGCTTTAAAAAGGGCTTGGATTCATTCCTAGATACACAGAATATAACTGGATACTAACATTTATAGGTAAAGTTGATCCAGGGAATATCCGATTGCCTCTCAGGGGATCAGGAAGGAATGTTTTCTCTTGCAGGAGCAAATTGGATTATGCTTTGCTGGGTTTTGTGCCTTCCTCTGGATCCACTGTGGGTAAAGGATTATAACTTTTTTTTTTTTTTGGTTGAACTGGATGGACTTTGGTCTTTTTTTCAGCCAGAATAACTATGTAACTATGATAAGAATCAAATATTCTTCCTGACTATCATCTTGCATGCATACAACCTATGTGCAAATTAATTCTCTTCTCCTTCAATGACCTCTCTGCACAAATGAGGTCAAACAAAGGCTCAGCTATGTCTCCTAGCATATGAATGGCAATTGGCAGGTATTGCATAGCTCTCTCCTTACAACAGTTGATGGCATATGCAAAGCATAAAATGGGAAACAGATAATGCTCTCTGTATATACTCACAGTGAACCGATAACATGAAAATGCTCACATTCAGTGAAAGCACTTTGATAACTGTGCATCACTCCTGACCCCAAAGGCATAAATAAGTAACCTAAGAAGCAGGGTGAACTAGCATTTCACCTCTGGGTTAGATCTTTGCCAGTAGTCGAGAAATGTGTACAGAAAGGCATTGGTCACTTTTTAGAGCAATACAGAGTTTATTAGCTCTAATTCAAGCTTGCGGGATAGGGGTTAGGGCACATGACATTCATGGACATGGCATACTCCAGAAGAAAGACAAAAAGGTACTTACAGCCTTCACAGATAAAGGACATGGTATTCTGTGAATTCAGCTCCTGTCTGCAAAATACTGGATTGTTCAGCTACTGACACCATAGGGAAAGGTCACCAAAAAGTTTAGTCATGAACCAATCTTCTACCCAGCTTCCCTGGTACCCCATTTAGACTTAGCTCCTCCATGGTGCTACAATTCCCTTGCTCAGTATTCTAGACCTTGAACCCAGGTCTCTATGCAGTCCATGGACACCCTCTCTAGACAGTAAGTCCAAGAGGACCACTGAAACACTGACAATAAACCTTGTGTTTGTCCAGGAAGATATAAATATTCATAATTCAGGTCACTGCAGCCTCCCATACTATTGCCAGTGACTCCATCAGCAGGCAGAAGAAAATAATAATCAGAGCTTAAGAGAGTCCCGCAGAGGGTTGAACTACCAATCAGGCTTAGGCTTATTGTAGCATTGCAACTTCTTAATTTAAATAGACACTCCTACATAGGCAGGGTGGCTACAGTTGTATCTCATTGGAACCTTTAATGACATTATTTAGTACATTAATTTATTTCAGCATACTAATCCTTGGTGTGGAGGTTGCATTTGTTTTTTTCCTTATATTTTTGCTTGGTAATCCTGCAAGTAACAGGTTCCTGGGTGGTTGCATCACTCCTCCACTGTATCTATGAATGGAGCCATGGTTGTTACCCCAGGCTGCCTGATATGAACTACAAACCTGCCTTTGTCTTCATTTGTTGCATTCACTAACACTAGCATAACCTGCCCTCCTGAAACTGTGAGTGAGTGCTTGTGAGTGAGTGTGTAAACAAACTGAGTTTGTATAAGCACAGTCAAAATTCTTAAGTCCTGATGAAGGGTGAGTGTGTTTGGCCTCTGGAACACATTGGCTTTGTTCTGCTATGAATCAATTTTATAATTAAATTACCAGTACCTTGGACTCTTGGAAAGTTGTTTGGGGCTCTCATTAGATTGTATTTTTATTGCTGTTGGATATGTACACAAGTGAGCCTTTTACAGGTAGATAGCACTCCTAAATGATGTTAAATGATGTAACTCTTATGTGAAGATTATTTTTTAAATTAATGGTCTGACAACAGGGTCTCTTCCAGTGCTAAGGGTTGAATTAAATGTTCGTGAGATTAAGGGTGCTCAAAGCTTGGTTAAGTTTTAAGAAAGATTTAAATGTTGATTTTAGGGGTTAGGTTAAGTTTTAGGATTTGGGTGATGGCAGGGGCAGGACTTCTTTTCTATGCTAATTACTGTACTGTATTTCAAAAACCGACGTACCTTATTGGGCAGTGTATAACCAGCCCTAAATGATGTGATTGTGTTTTAGCCTTTGCACTAAGCTTATAATCAACTCTAATGTTATTACTATGCACAAAAAATCTTTTTTAGCATTCAATAAAGTTGGCGGATATGAAAATTTTATGATTAAATACATGGAGGCCATTCCTACGGAGGTTAATAATAATGGCACACCAGTTGATCCAAAATGCTACACTCCACGAGAAGATGCCTTCCATCTTTTCCGGGATCCCATCAAAGGAGATATGCCATGGCCAGGTCTTGTGTTCGGCTTGACCATCCTAGCTCTGTGGTACTGGTGTACAGATCAGGTAATTTACATAAGTGGTGAACACATATGTTGTACCTATACTGATGACAAAATAATGTAAGGTCCACAAAAATATGTTTTCTTCTACCAGGTGATAGTACAGCGATGTCTCTCTGCCAAAAACATGTCACATGTGAAGGCTGGCTGTGTGCTGTGTGGATATCTTAAACTTTTACCCATGTTCCTGATGGTATTCCCAGGAATGATAAGCCGCATTCTGTATACAAGTAAAGGCATTACTTAAGACTTTGATCAATAATAATAATATTATTTTGCAGACACAAATATGCTTACATGTCCACTGTTTCTCTTCATAGATGAAATAGCTTGTGTGGTGCCAGAGAAGTGTAAACAATATTGTGATACTGAAGTTGGATGTACAAATATCGCTTATCCTAAGTTGGTGATTGATTTGATGCCAGATGGTAAGATGTTCCTGATAATTATATCTGCCAAGCAATTTTTTCAAGATTAGAGTAAAACAGTGGTCCCACTTTTATATTACTAGCTATGAACATTCAAAGATTTCCATATTCTGAAAAAGCAGAGTATGATCTTTAAACCAAGCACTCACTGATGTTTGTAGCAGCAAGTATTGTGGAGTAATTCATCCACAAATAATACAGCAACACTTTCATTTTCAACAGGTCAGTCTATTTATCGCCTCACTCCCAGCAGTCACTTGGCAGCCTTTCAGCCATTTAATCTATAATTCAAACCAAAGGGATGACTCCACTCTTTATATTGGGAACTTTGAGGATGAATTACTCCACTGCAGCATAAGAGGTCCGTGAGGGCATGTTTGAAAACTGATTGACTGCTTGTTAAAAATATGTAAATATTTGAACAATCATGGCTTGGCCACGGTTCTGCTTTAAATGTGCCAACCACAGAGGAGCCGAAACAGAATTTACCAGATCTAAATAGAGTATAACACACTTTAAATAAATACATTTATAATGTACATTACATTTAGGTGTTACACAGCGCCCAAAGTCTCAAAATTAAATAAACAGTGGTTGATTAAAATTGTTCTAACTGATTTTTCTTACCTTTCTTATGGGAGAATGCAAGAGCGAAAATGCTTATTGGCACACTTTATATATATTTAAATAAAGGCATTATTTATTTTCCAATAGTTTTTTATTGAAATATTTCAAGTTATAAATAGTGCAAAAGACAAATGTCATGTTAGAAAAGAAGGTGTTGAACATTACCAAACAACACCCGGTTGAACAAACAACAGATATACCTTCGGAAACCAGAACATCTGTGCAATAATAACTGGGTAGATCAAATAGAAAGTTCCCAGCAATAAATCCACCATGTACAGGGGAAGCAGTAGTAGTAGTAAACACATGGATCGCACAGAACAAGCATTGTAGAAAACATGACAAATAATGTAGAACAAATAAAAAATAAACTCAACTAGCACCAGAAAACAGAGAGACAAAAGAGACAGTAAAAAGTGAGAAAAAGAAAGGAACAAGAACGAGATAATAAAAAGAGGGTCAAATTGGGAAGTATCAAGGCACGGAAATGTATTGAATCCATGGGTCCCACGTTTTATCAGATTTGTTAGTATTATTGTGTAGAACACAGGTGAGTCTGTCATTAATAATGATCCAATTTAATTTGTACTTAACATAGTCAAGCGGAATAATTGATCTCTTTCAATATTTTGCAATAGTGATTCTCGCTGCTAACAGCATCTATCTATCTATCTATCTATCTATCTATCTATCTATCTATCTATCTATCTATCTATCTATTCAGTTGGCTAACAGCATAGAAAGGCATTATTAAAAAAAAAAAAAAAAAGAAGATGTCTGTATAGAGTACAGGTCATTCGCACAAATGCACTGCATTATGACTTTGCAGGGTATTAGAAACATTACAGCTAACCGAATGATGACTGCTTCTATCTGTGCGCATTCTGGCATTGGTCTGCAATGAATGCAAGTTATTGCTGCATCTTTTATCTGCCATTCAGTAGACAAAAATTTATAGTGAGTACAAAGATATGTAGTTGAAACAGTTGCATATGTTCACTGCAAGGACACTATATAGTACCCGTGCACAAATAAACTGTTTCTTCATTGTGCTTTGTAGTATTTAATAAGTGAAATATGTTACTTACAGTCTCTGCATTGCTTGATTACAAGGGTCAGATACCATAAATCATAATCACCCCCAGGGGCGGACTGACCATTTGGAAACTTGGGCACTGCCCGAGGGCCCGGGGTCAGTAGGGGGCCCCATGAGATGCCCCTGGTACCTTTTTCATAGGCTTTTTTGAGTTTGGGCAAGGACACAGGGGCCCCATGATCCCCTATTGCCCGGGGGCCCCATGAGTTGTCACTCCGCCCCTGATCACCACTGTACTGGTGTCAACAGTCTGATACATGGCTGGTTTCCATACAATGAACTTGACCAAAATTACAATACCAAAATATTTTAGGATTCTAAAATATGCTGAGCTAAATAACATATAACTGGCATTACTCTATCTTGAATTAATTTTCCCTGGATTTGGTTTCTGCATTTTCATTGAATTGTTTCACCAGGTCTTCGAGGTTTGATGTTGTCTGTAATGTTGGCATCTCTCATGAGCTCCCTCACATCCATCTTTAATAGTGCGAGCACCTTGTTTACTATGGACATTTATACCAAGATCCGCAAGCATGCATCAGAGAAGGAGCTGATGATAGCAGGAAGGTGAGAGATGCTACTCCATGGTCACACAACCCTTGTGTTTTTCCTTTGGAATGGATTAAGTCTGCCAAATAAGCACCTATTGTAAGCTGGCCATACTTTAATACAGGGTCACCACTGCTACCTAATGTAGATCTGCCAAACTTTACAGGCCCAAAATGATACTTTTTTAGTGAGCAAATTTACCTTAATACTTTAACCACTTGCCCTCCTGAGGATTTACCCCCCTTAATGACCAGGCCTCTTTTTGCTACTTGGCGCTGCACTAATTCAACTGATAATTGCGCGGTCATGCAATGCTGCTTCCAAATGAAATTTACATCCTTTTTTTCACACAAATAGAGCTTTCTTTCGGTGGTATTTGATCACCTGTGTGCTTTTTATTTTTCACGCTATAAACAAAAGAAGAGCAAAAGTTTTGAAATAAAACAATATTTTTTACTTTCAGCTATAAAAATATATAGTAAACTCAAAGTTAGTTATAAATTTAGGCCAAAATGTATTCTGCTACATGTTTTTGGTAAAAAAAATCCCAATAAGTGTATATTGATTGCTTTGTGTGAAAGTTATAGCGTCTACAAACTATGGTACAGATACTGCAATTTACGCAATTTTTTGCTATACAGCGCTGCGCTAGTTTAACAGACAATTGCGCGGTCATGAAATACGGTACATAAATGAAATTTACATCCTTTTTTTTGCCACAAATTGAGCTTTCTGTCGGTGGTATTTGATCGCCTGTGCATTTTTTTATTTTTTTGCGCTATAAAAAAAAAAAGGCTGACAATTTTGAGGAAAAAAAACAATATTTTGGACTTTTTGCTATAAAACATGTCCAGTAAAAAAAAAAATGTAAAAATCAAATTTAGTCATAAATTTCTGCCAAAATGCATTCTGCGTCATGTCTTTGCTAAAAAAAAAACCCAATACGTGTAAATTAATTGGTTTACGTGAAAGTTATAGCGTTTACAAATGGCGGGAAAGATACTGGGATTTTTAATTTTTTTTATACTAATAATGGCGGCGATCAGCGACTTATGGCGGCGATCAGCGACTTATGGCGGGACTGCAGCGGACATTCTGACACTGGGGGGGAACTGACTTGGGGTCACTGACATCCCCAGTGACACCAATACAGTGATCAGTGCAAAAAAAAAACACTGACACTGTACTAATGGCACTGGGGAGGAAGGGGTAACTTTATTATTCAGTCAAAGGGTTAACTGTGTGAGGGGAGTGTTTTACTAGGGGGCGGGGTGTGTACTGCAGGGAACACCTCTGATCGGGAGAGAGAAACTCTTCTCTCCCGATCAGCCTGTCAGGAGCTGTCAGGGAACTGACAGAGAGCAGAGCTACTGCAGCTGTGCTCTCTGTCACTGATTGCCGCTAATCGCCGGGACATAGCCAGTAACGACCGGCTGTGACCCGGCGACTAACATCCGCGGCCGTGATCGCGGGACAGGTAGGGTGGCGGCGCGCCTCGCGCGCGCCCCCTACCTGTTTTAACCGTTTCAATACCGTGCAATTTTACACCTTCCTGCCCAGGCCATTTTTCAGGTTTCAGCGCTCTCACACTTTGAATGACAATTGCGCGGTCATACAACACTGTACCCAAACTAAAATTTTATCATTTTCTTCACACAACTAGAGCTTTCTTTTGGTGGTATTTAATCACCGTTGGGGTTTTTATTTTTTGCTAAATTAACAAAAAAAGACCAAAAATTTTTAAAAAAAAAAACACATTTTTCTTTGTTTCTGTTATAAAAGTTTACAAATAAATAATTGTTCTTCATAAATTTAGGCCGAAGATGTATTCTGCTACATGTCTTTGGTGAAAATAACCCAAATTAGGATGTATTTTTTAGTTTGTAGGAAAGTTATAGAGTTCACAAACTATGGTATAGATCTGAATATTGATCAATCCTGAAGTACTGACAGCCAATCTAATTTCTTGAGGTCCAAGAATGTCAGAATAGTACAGATATCCCCAAATGACCCCTTTTTGCAGAGTAGACAGTCCGACGTACTTACATAAGAGGCATGGCGATTGGTCACAGCAGGTCACATGGTACCAGCAACGGGAGCCGGTACTCGGATCTGTCATCGGCCGTGTCCGAGGTGCACGGCCGGTGACAGATCGTGCTGCTGCGCCGCTCTGCATTAGTGCAAACTGCGCATGTGCGGGAGCACGCCAAATGGCGTGCACCCGGAGTGCAGAGACACTTTTGAAGCCGCCAAACGGCCATTGGCCGGGCGGCTACAGGTTAAAAACACACGTTTTAAAACGTGGTTTTGCCCAGCCGTTCCGCCCTGCCGCTGTATTTCTACAGTGGCTGGGCGGCATGTGGTAATAATACCACACTTTTTTCATTTGATGCCAGTGTAGACAATGGAGTTAATTTACTAAATGCAAATAGGCTGTTCACTTTGTAAGGGAATTTTTTTCCCAGAACTTAGTGAAAGTGGTAAAACTTTGCTTGCACCTGATCGAATGATGGAAGTCAGCAGAGCTTCGCCTCATTCAAGCTTTGGGAAAATTCCCTTGCAAAGTAAACAGTCTATATTTAGTAAATCAACCCCAATGACCTGCATAGAATATTCAAACTGTATTTGTTGACTGGCAATGTTTATAACTTTCCAGAACATAGATCATTTCCCGCAGATGTAAACATATTAATTATTGTTGAACAAATTATGTGTAAAACTGGCAAAAGTTGTCATTCTTTCTTACTTTTCCCAAAGTTGATAATTAAGAGCGATTTTCCCTATCTGAGCATTTTTTTTTTTTCCCATGCTTATTCTGAACTCCTAGAGGGAAATAACAAGTGCCTACAGCAGTTGGAGGTGTTTACTGCTAGTTAGATCTTCTGATACACTGGAAATCTCTCTCAAGCTGGCCTGATTTTTTTCACCATTTTACAGAGTATTGGATCAAAATTATATGCCACATAATGTGCTGTAAGCATAAATCAAAGGGTAAGCTTGGCCTGACACTAATGGGACTCTTTTGATCACAGTCAGAAAACTCCCCTTCCATCAGTCTTATGCCCATTTATGGCCAATCTTGATGCGCTGACAATGAATATCAAATCAGATGTATAGGTTATGTGCAGTTACTTCTACAATAGGTGACAGATACATTCTATTTTTTTTGTGTTGGGTATCCATTTGTGTCTACAGCACTTAAGCAACTCTTTGTTCTATTGTAAAATCTCCTTGTAGAGTCTTTATGCTGGTCCTGATTGGAGTGAGCATTGCCTGGATCCCTATTCTGCAGTCTGCACAGAGTGGACAGTTGTTTGATTACATACAGTCTGTGACTAGCTACTTGGGACCTCCTATCGCATCCGTCTTCTTCCTGGCTATCTTTGTCAAGAGAGTTAATGAACAGGTTAGTTAGCGGATGAAAAAAAATTATTAATGGTAAGAAGGGAAGAATGATGTCATTTATTTATTGCATTTTCTAATAAACCTATTTAAACCCAGTCACTAAAGTTCATATAATCATTAACAATGAATTAATGTCATTTCAAAAGTATTTCAACCTTTTAACTGCAACTTATTAAAATAACACCTGGTGATCTTCCCATGAAGGTCATTGTTCAGGCGATTGCTGTTATGGGGTGATGCTGCTCATTCCCTATCCCCTCTCAATTGCTCTGTGTTGCATTCTGTCACATGTCTATATACATGTGGTTGAGAATGAAAATGATAAAAACAGTATTTTCTAAAATAAAAAGAATGGCGGTTGTTTATGATACTCAGAGCTTTACCTATCTAAATGTCATACAGTTGGGGGTTTACCGTAGGTTCTCAGATGCAGTTTCCTCTCCAGCTAGGAGAAGAGTGAGTAGTACAATATTGAAACAAACTAACTCAAATCAAATATAAAGGCTATGAGGAGTGATTAGTTGCTGGAAATTAACTGCTATTTCTCAGGAGTAATTCAAGGCAAAAGGGCAATGTTCCCGGGTACTGGTTAGATACAACTAATGCTTCCAAGTGTTCTCTAGATATAGAAAATCTTTACATTTTGAATTCAGCTCCAATTTAACATTCTTGCTTGTTTTTGTTTTTTTTTGTTTTTTACTTTTTTTTAGCTTCCATAAACCTACCTTCACACTTTGGACTACAGTTGGTCATAAAGCTAAATACTGAAAATAATTTGTTCACCTAATGCTAACATACACACTTATGCTTATGTAGCACCCTACTAGTCAGCTAGGGGGAGCTAACTGATTAATTGTTTTAGACAGAATGGCTGAGTAGCAGCCTGGGCAATAGTTCCGGGTGAGGAAGGGCTGGTCTGCATACTCAAGGGACTCTGGCCAATCCCTGAGCAGGAGGATTGGCATGGGACCAGAGCAGCCCTTAAGTATGACTGAGCCTACTCAGCAGTAGGAGAGTCCAGGAGGAAGATGTGAGGAAGGCTAAGATGCAGGAGCCTAGGAGGGGGCCCAGTGTGAAGGAGCCTACCTACAGGCAGGAAGCTGGAAAGGAGGATTGCTCAGCCTCACCGGACCACCTGTAGAGCCAGGAAAAGAGCCAGCCCAACTGTAGGCAGCCACCTACCTACGCCAGCTCACAGGAGAGAGACTGAGTGAGTAATCCTACACCCCCTGGGAAAGTTAAGAGGAAAAGAGCACTCTGGTGGGAAACCCAATTAGCTCCTTACTCGAGACTGTTCAACTTAATGTGGCAGGCACTGGATCCCCTTGCCCAAGGATTCCCTCAGGCAGCTGGATAAGAGGAGGATTTATTTGGGGTCTAGGGTGGTACACTGGGAGAGGCTGGAGAGCTCTCCAAGAAGAGGAACCTTTCTATGGACTTGTACATAATTTCTAAGGAGTTTGTCCTCAGTTCACTGTTCCTTGGGCATCCCATACACCCCTTACCCAATCCAAGTTCAAAACCCCTAATAAAACTTAAAAAAACAAGTTCAAGGACTGTTTACTGTCTCCAGAATGCAAGTCTATGGAAAATGTATGTTGCCTGGCTGTGCAAGACTATAGGGGGACCCAAATCTTCAGCAACCCCTACTGGGGGTAGTGCTACACTTATATCAAACAAGTAGGCATGTGCTATGAGCTGGGATAACATGCTTCTCCATACCCTGAAAGAGAAAAATATGGGAGGATTATTTATGTCACTTAATCTGGTAACCCAGTGATGTGCTCTACAGAAAGCCTGATTGTCAGAAATGACAAAAACCCAGCGATAACGGGGCTGATTTACTAAAATTGGAGAGATCAAAATCTGGTGCAGCTGTGCATGGTAGCCAATAAACCTCTAACTTCAGCTTGTTCAGTTAAGCTTTGACAAAAAAAAAACTAGAAACTTATTGGTGTCTATGCAGAGCTGCATCAGATTTTTTCACTCTCTAGTTTTAGTAAATTAACCCCAAAATGTCTAGGGATACACTCACAGTTATGTGTAGTATGTATATAAAATAATGAACAATGTTGAAGGTTTGGTTAGGTTTTTAAATATTTATTCATTTTTTCATTTCCTACCAGGGAGCTTTCTGGGGACTAATTATTGGCTTGTTAATTGGTCTGTCGCGGATGATTGCAGAATTTGCTTATGGTACCGGAACCTGTCAGAAACCCAGTAATTGTCCGACGATCATCTGTGGGGTGCATTACCTGTATTTTGCTATTATTCTCTTTACTGCAACCAGCATCATCGTTCTGGACCATATCACTAATGACCAAGCCAATCCCAGACAAATATGTGAGTACAAGCAAAAAAGTGAAACATTGATTCATGTGCATATTTCACTTTATGTCACACAAGCATATCAGTTCAGTAAGCTTTACACACTTGGTGTTTGATCTTCTGACACTTCTTCTTTTTTACAGTTCAGCACATATTGCTCTCCTTTTGGTCAAGTTCTGGGCAATTTTTTTGTACAGGCCTCAGGGTCTGGTCAGTGCACAATTTGGGCACGACACTTTTTATTATTTTTATAGATTTATTTAATTATTTATTTATTTATTTTTCCTCACCCCACGTTTGTCACCTTTTACTTTTGTTGGTGTTTTTCTCACAGGATGAGGGTGTGGGTCCTCGGGCCTACCCTGACGTCTGGCCATACGGTTCCTTCCTCCCCTGTCCCTAGGGGGTTTTCTCTTCGGGAGAACCCCCTGACCTAGTCTGGATTTTTTGGACATAAGGAAGTGGTCCACCAGGCCTTTTGGCACAGGAGGACCAAATGGGAACCTTGTCCCTGTCAGGAGCTTTGCCCCGGGGGATCAGGGTAACGGTTCAACCCCTTAGGTAGGACAAAAGAGTGCACTTTTTGTGTGGGGCACTTGCACTTTTTTGTGAACACTTACGGGTTTTTTCGTTTTATGCACGTTTGCGGATAGACTGCCTTTCCTGAACATGTATCAAACTCTAATGGAAGAGCGTATAAGGGTGTATTCACACCACCATGTGTGTATTGAGCCCAGGTAAACACACGAGTTGACATGCTGAATAGAGGTACATTGCATTTTAACATGTACTTTTCTCCTCACTTCCTTGAACATGCAAAGGGTGACATGACAGAGGTGCCAAACCTGTGCTGGCCTGCTGTTTTTCCTGTATGTGTTGTACTAAAATGCATTGCATTGTGTTGCACTAAAAAAGTAAGGCTTGGTCTACTTTTTTCTACTGCAAACAAGATTGTTCCACTCAACTTTTTGCAAAAGCGTTTGACACAGTTCCCCACACACGGCTAATGTGTAAGGTAAAGTCTTCGGGCTTGGAAAAATCCATATGTAAATGGATAGAAAACTGGCTAAAAGATTGTATTCAGAGTAGTGGTTAATGATTCATACTCTGAATGGCCTAGGATTGTCAGTGGTGTACCCCAAGGTTCAGTGTTGGGACCCTTACTTTTTAATATATTTATAAACGATATAGGGTCTGGGATTAAAAATCCCATTTCAGTCTATGTAACTATGTAACTCTGCCAGCACAGAGACAGCAGAAGTGTTACCACGTTCACTATCACTGCACTGACATGCACTGAAGCACTGAAGCACTCTACCTTACTTGCCGCCACTACACCAATGTGCGCTAAAGCACTTCCCATCATTGCACTGTCACAAGTTACATTACTGGCTGCCACTACACCAAGACTCGGGTCACCACTGAACCGCACATGCTTTCGCATCGTCCACCACTGAACTGAAGAGCATTTCTGCGCTGCCTACCACAGCACCCATGAGTTTTACCCTACTTGTTACCACTGAAAACAGCACATGATTATCTACCCCCACACGCTGCCACTGCACCAGTGCGCACCACCCCACTGACCTCTACTACACTGACTTGCACTACCCACTCACCATTGCAGCATCGACATACACTACAGAATCATGCTCTGATATGCATTACATTTCTCAGACAGTTGAATTCTGTACACTATATTGTAGGCTCATATTAGGAATTCAATATTCATCCCATTGAATGAATGGGCACATTTTGCTAGTATATATTAAAAATGAAGGTGTGACCACCTAAAACTAAAGTTTAAACTGCTTATATTTTGCCATCCTTGGTGCCTCCCTACCACCCCCTCTTATCGACATGCTATTGAAATATTTACATCAAAATTTTCTGTTGTCATATGTTATTTTAGACTCAGGGATGTCATCAGTAGGTCTCTGTACTTTTCTTTGCAATGCAGGGACGTCATGGCCAGTGGAAAAAGTGGCAGAATGCTGTACATAACTAGCTGAAGGCCTCACAGCACCCCGTCTCAGTACTCCACTCAAGAGCCCTCAACCTTGATACAAGCAGTTAAATAAATATAGTGCAGTGCTAAAATGTCAATGATAAATAAAAGATACGAATAATCTCAAAGTGACAGTCCGTGCAAGTTAAAGTGGAGGTAGTAATAATCATGATCCTGTGTCGGTGCTCCAACAGTGTTATGATAAGAATGCGCACTCACCAGATACGCAATGTTAATGCGCATTAACAGTTGTAATGGTCCTCTCTAGGTAATGGATGTGGTCCTGGACAGGGGAAATCCTCTCTCTGCGTACAGGTGGTGCTGTAGGAGCTCTCAATAGGAGCCACTTGGATCCAGAGTTGTACAGCTGTCCTACGAGGAGATCCTGGTATATAAGCTGCCTCACTCATCCACCCCTTAAAGAGGCTCCTGGCTGCCTGATCCCATCTCCTCCTGAGAGCTCCTACAGCAGCACCTGGTGAGTGCGCATTCTTCTCATATCACTGTTGGAGCACCGACACAGGATCGTGATTGTTACTACCTCCATTTTAACTTGCACGGACTGTCACTTTGAGATTCTTCGTATCTTTTATTTATCATTGACATTTTAGCGCTGCACTATATTTATTTATTTGATTGATGAAGGTTTTTATATTGGTTACATTTGGTGCATTAGCTGCTGTTTTTAGAGCACTCACTTTTACATCTTTATTTTCTTGATACAAGCAGTGGGCAGCCTCTTGAGTTATGCAAATTGACTTAATGTTGCCAGTAGCAGACTTTAGCATCAATGGCAAAATGCATGCCACCAATCAAATATCAAAATGCTTTGATGGGTGAATGTAAGTATGTTCCTAGGCAGATCACCCTACGTAACGCCCACGTGTAATGCTAACCCTTCCTGATTAAAATAAAGGGACAGGTCAGGAACACTAAGGCTGGGGTGGAGAGCGCTAGATGATGCTAGATGTCCTCCAGCCAAGAAAAGAAATGGGCTCTGTCTGACTTGCTACAGTTTCTAATGCGCATTGTGAGAATCTCACAGTCTGCAATGAAATTAGCATAAGAAATCTCAGTACAGAAAAGAAGCCTGTACAACTGTGGAAGACTGACGGGAAGGGTGGGTGCAGTTCAGCTTTAAGGAATATTATACTATGAAGTTTTAAGTAATTTATTAGTATGTAATAAATCAATAAATTTCAGCAACAGCCACCCAATAAATTTCAGCAACAGCCATGCCTATATAGTATGTAATAAATCAATAAATTTCAGCAACAGCCACCTATTCTGGGGCTGGGTTAGAACCCTTTTTGGTATATTACTGCTTTTGGGGATTTATTAGGTTTTTTTTTTTTCATTTCCTGCCTTGCTGACAGAAAGTCAAAAGAACTTTCCAAAAGCAACACTGACAGAAATAAAAGTGCTTGTTTTAGTAGACTAGTGGAAGACTGTAACCACTGTGAGTTTTGTTTTTGCTTTTGTGTCCCTGTTGCAGATTTCCCTTCACTTCTTCTCTGGTAAAACTATTGTCAGCATAAAGTGAGGGAAAATCTCACCTTTCAGGTGCATTTTCCCGCACCACATTCAAAACACACTGCAGTTACAATCTGCAACAGGTGGCAATGAAAAATTAATCACATCCCAAGTTGCCTGCACTGGAGAAGTACCATGAGATTTGGTTGCAGTGCATTTTTTAAATCACTTCTTGCCTGTAGGACATCATATGGGTTAAAGTGGTTATACCAGGATGATGCCTACGGCAGCAGGCATCATCCCTGTATCAACATTTTCAGCCGGTAATTTCCTTCAATGTAGAAGTGATTACATCGGCTACAGAGCCACTCTTCTACAGGTGGCGGAAGCGGGCACCCCCCTCCCGCTGCTGCCATTCCCAGACTCTCCTGTCCCATCGGGGTGTCGGGGACTGCTCTGACCAGCGGCTACAAATGCACTGCTTTTGATGCAGTCCCGTGTGGGTCAGACCATACAAATTGTACTGCAGTGCACCACATTGCACGGGAATGTGCAGCCATGCCTGTGCAATTCCTGGTGTAAACTGGCTCTAACTGTTCTGGTAGGTAGTAAAAACAGATACATATTCTAATCTTTTCCTGCTATAAAACAAAAAAAAAGTAGTTTTTGGCTTGATATTCACTGATTTTATTGCATAAAGTGAAAAAATATGACTGAACTATAACAAGAATATGTAAATGTACTACATCACTAAAATAAGAGTGAAATAAGAGGCGCTAGTCATATTGTAACCAAAATTGAAAAACTTTTTTTGTAGCTTTACCGCTTGTGCTGGTCTCTGAGGAACAGCAAAGAGGAAAGAGAAGATCTTGATGCTGAAGACTGGGTTGCTGAAGAAACAACAGATGATGACTTTGATGAAGGTAAGATTAGCCGTATATTGATGCTAAAATAAAGCTAACAACCATAAGGACCTCATTTCTCTAAATAATAGAAATATGTGTACATGTTGCCAGAGATATAGCTTCTTGCCAATGGGACCTTAATACTCAGGATATGTGTAACTAGTGTAATCAAATTTTCAACCAGGTGCAAAAGCATTTCACAAGATGTAAGTCTTTGATCTCTGATCAGTAAAGTGGGTCATATGATTACATAATAAAATTATGGAATCTCCAATGGGTCCCTCGGTCACAGAACCACAGAACCCTATTTACTTCAGTCCTGCTGCAAGGCCAAAAGGGTGCTCAGAGCTAGTGATAGCGACAAAAAAGCAGATGCAATCTGTTTAGGTGTAGCATTTTGTTTCCCAATTATTCACTCAACCTTTTTATTTTTGATGCAGAGGAAAAAATGAGTTGCTGGAAGAAGGCTTACAATTGGTTCTGTGGCTTCGAAACTAAGAAGGCTCCAAAACTTAGTGAGGAAGAGAAGGCGGCCATTGAAGCAAAGATGACAGACACATCAGAAGCGCCTCTATGGAGAAATGTGTCCAATATCAATGGCATTATCCTACTAACTGTTGCTGTGTTCTGCCATGCCTACTTTGCCTAGATGTGATGCATTTTTTTAATGTTGAATCCTAATAGACATTCTTTGGTCCAATCATCACTTAAACGGTTAATGGCAGAGAGATACCAGTTATGACTTTTTTCTGCTTATGAGAACCATTTGGATGATGCAAAACCATGGAAATATGGGCATGAAGGTAATTTACGATGAAAAATCTACCCTGTGGGTAACTCCTCCTGTCCATGAAGCCCCAAAAGCAGTACTTATTTCACAGACATGCCCTGTTCTAGGGTGAAGTAGCAAGATAATGGTAGTGAACTGCATTCACACATTACTAACCTATCCATTGGGATGTGGGTTGAAAAGGATGGTCGTCACTGAAGCTCTTGTGTTAATGAGGATCTATAAATACATATCATGGAAGGAATTGTCCAACAGCTGAAATTGACAGATACAGATCCTCTCCATATGTGTAAAATATCTCTTGTATTTTAATAAGGAAATAAAAATTGTTATGAAATAGAATATTAGTTTTTTATTGCCATGTGTACAACCAATGTTTGACTATGCCACAGTCCATGCCATAAGAGCCAGCTGATGTTGCCTGTAACAGATCTAGCCACCAGTGGCAAAGTGCATGCTATCTACACACCACTTGCCAACATGTAGGTGGGGCCTAACCAGTGTAACCAAGAATTGAACACAAGCATACCTAAATTTTGTCTATATTGTAGAAATTGACTGTTCATGGAATAAGACAATTTACAGCAATGGCACCATATATGTTGGAGGTCATACATTTATTCAGGCAGAAGAGGGCATGGTTCCAAATAGTTATATGCCAGTCATTCATAGAAGCACAGAATGCCAGAGGAACAATTCCCTAGGGGGAAGCGATATCACACTGTGACCCCAAATGTCCCTGCAGAGATCTAGCTGCCAGTGGGAGACTCTTCTAGGAAACTGACAAGGAAAGGGTGAGGAAACACCCTATGGGGGGAACCTGCTTTTTTCCTCCTTAACACCTCTCTATTGCTGCTCCTATTCTCTCCCTATCCAATGGGTCTCCTTCCTTATCCTACTCTCACTCTGCAGCCAAATGATAATACTATTTATAGTATTCATAGTCAACATGGCTGCCCAAATTTCACAGGACTTCTGTATTCAATAGCATTCTCCCCAAGATGGCTGCACCTCTTTCTCTGTGTGCTTTGTATATGATTTCACAGAGAAGCACTAAAGTGGCAACACTTTAGTGCAATATTTTGATGCTGTAGATAGCAATAAAGTCTACAAAGTGGAGTAAAGACCAATACAGATTGCATGTGTATGTAAACTCTAACAACAAACTTCTCTTATGTGTTCCATGTTTGTATTTTGTTAAATATACAAGTAAAACATTTTATTACATCTGTTCCATTAGTTAGCCTACGAAAAAAAAAACCTTTTGACCCTTTCAGAAATCCATTGCTGTCTTGTTTGCTCTGTAATCCTATATCAAACTTTGTTATCAGAACTGCCCCGTGGGTTACCCGCATTTTCCCATAGATTGCTATTAGATCAGGTGCTTTTGATGTGTTTTCTGAAAGCGCACCAATAGTTCTGCATGCTGCATCTGTACTGTGCTTTCAGAAGTCAAAGCACCAAAAAAAGCCTGATCTAATAGAAGTCTATGTGAAAGTGCAGGTAAACTGCATGAAAATGAACCTGATCAAATAAATATATTCTTTACACACCTTGAAACAATGTGCTCTGATGACTTGCCATGATCACTGATCTAATCACTTTCCATGATCACTGGTAAGTTCACTTGTCATGAAGAAAACACACAGCTTCCTTCAGAAACTTTGATAAATAGTGTTGTGCATCATCAACCTTTTAAATAAGTAACCTGACACATCTAATTGCTGTATGTTTTCTTCAATAAAAAGAACATTACATAACATTCAGAAAAACCAGTGTAAGCACTTTAAAGCCGAGTAATCCCTTGTAGAATTGTGCTGTCAGCGCTCCTGCAGGATATGGGAGCTTCTATCTTCTCCCAGTCTGCCTTCTGGGTTTGGATTCTTCAGCCTCTTGATTGACTTGTCCACGATGATGTCACTTTTGGGTATGCGCACCAAAGTCACACATCTTGGCACAGGGAGGGTGCCGTAAATGTAGGCTGCGCTGCGAGGCTCAGTGTACATTGACACGGACAGGCAGAGAATGTCTTTTCTGTAATAAAAATCCAACCTATCAGCATTTTTTTTAAATTCTGCTTTAACCGTTTCCTGTCCCACCATGGTACATAATCGGCCGGATGGGAGCAGCACTGATGTGGGTGGACGTGAATTGTCTCAGCTGTGTCCATCAGGCACAGCACAACACAGATTGTTGTACCAGGCCACTGTGAATGTCCCTGGTACCATGTGATCACTGTAGCCAATCAGCGATCACATGGACAGCAGTAAACAATATGTAATTTCATGGCATCATTGTTTACTACTGTGTCATTTCTTTGGTCACAGAGATCACATAGCACAGGGCCATTCACAGTAGCCCTGTACCATGTGATGGCTGTGGCCAATCACAGCTATCACAATATTTATCAATGCCTGCAGGAATGCAGCCAAAGAACGTGGGAAATGTTTGTTTTTACAGCCATCATGACTGTAAAAGTAATCTGTGACGGAGGGTAAGCGGGACAGAACACACAAGGCAGACGGCAAACACTTAAAGCTTTATTAAAACAGACAACAGTCACTCAATGGGGAGTAGTGCAGGGAGAGAGAGTCCAAAATACTTGTAATCCAGCCCCGGTGGGCAAAGTTAACCGTTTCAATACCGTGCAATTTTACATCTTCCTGCCCAGGCCAATTTTCAGGTTTCAGCGCTCTCACTCTTTGAATGACAATTGCGCGGTCATACAACATTGTACCCAAACTAAAATTTTATCATTTTCTTCACACAACTAGAGCTTTCTTTTGGTGGTATTTAATCACCGCTGGGGTTTTTATTTTTTGCTAAATTAACAAAAAAAGACCAAAAATTTTGAAAAAAAAAAAAACCACATTTTTCTTTGTTTCTGTTATAAAAGTTTACAAATAAATAATTGTTCTTCATAAATTTAGGCCGAGATGTATTCTGCTACATGTCTTTGGTGAAAATAACCCAAATTAGGATGTATTTTTTAGTTTGTAGGAAAGTTATAGAGTTCACAAACTATGGTATAGATCTGAATATTGATCAATCCTGAAGTACTGACAGCCAATCTAATTTCTTGAGGTCCAAGAATGTCAGAATAGTACAGATATCCCCCAAATGACCCCTTTTTGCAGAGTAGACAGTCCGACGTACTTCATAAGAGGCATGGCGAGTTTTTTGAAGTTGTATTTTTTTGTCATAATTTTTCGGAAAATGAAAAAATTAAAAAAATTATTTTCACTATTTTTTTTTTTTACATACTGTCACCAGTGCAGTACAGTGTCATCATATAACTGGCATGGCGGTGAACAGGGACACTGACTGGTGACAGTATGAAAAAAAAATATATATATATATTTTTTTTTTTTCAATTTTTTTATATATATTTAATTTTTTATTACATTTTTTTTTTTTTTTTAAAGATTTTTTTTCATATTTTACTATGACCAAAGTAGTACAATGTTACCATAGTAACATTGTACTACTTTGGGGAAGTGATCTGTTTTTTTTTTTTTTTTTTTGTTTTTACACAATTTGCTTATAGCAAAGAATTACTTTGCTATAAGCAAGCATTTACCTGAATGAAATCGATTCATTCAGCTTTTTTTTTTTTTGTGCTTAGCTGTAATTTGGTCACAGCTAAGCACATGACATGTGCATGTGATTAGCTGTGACCATTCACAGCTAGGCACTAGTATACAATGGATGGCATCATGAATGAAGCCATCCATTGTATACAACTGTAATGTGACCTGCTGTGATTGGTCACAGCAGGTCACATGGTACCAGCAACGAGAGCCGGTACTTGGATCTGTCATCGGCCGTGTCCGAGGTGCACGGCCGGTGACAGATCGCACTGCTGCGCCGCTCTGCATTAGCGCAAACGGCGCATGTGCGGGAGCACGCCAAATGGCACGTACCCGGAACGGAGAGACACTTCTGAAGCCACCAAACGGCCATTGGCCGGGCGGCTAATGGTTAAAGTCTCTACAGCAATTTGTAATCCAAGAGGCAGTTCATAAGCAGTCAGATAGCACAAGGGAAGCATACACTCACGCAAAGCTGATGCGTTTCAGGCAGGGCTGATGTAGCTTCTGGGGTCCCCCTTCCTCCAATGGGGCTCAGGCAGAGCCGGGGGGCCACTAGAGTCCAGCTGGACCCCTCAGCGGTTGCCC